ACTGGCTGCCCACCCCCTTTTATGGCACGTCTGATTTGCTCAACTGGATATCAAACGTCCATACATGAAAGGGTACTCTACCACCAATATTTATTTCTTTTACTTTGGTTCTCTGTTGCTCAAGCCTAATTAAGCTGAGCTGAAAGAAAAAATTGAGGACTAGGTTAGGTGAGTCACATCCTCATCCCATTACCCTTTTTCCACATACCCAAACAAAATAAGTAGGGAGAGGGAAAGGGGGAGGGAGAGGGATTGAAAAATTTTCAATTATTAAAGAACAAAACAAGAGGGAGAGGGGGATTCAAAGTCTACAAGCTTGAAAGAGGAAAATGGAAACACTAGCCTTTGATCATCACCGATGTCTTTGTTGTTGGTACCTCTTTCTCTCTCTTTCTCTCCCTTTCGGAAGTCGCCCCATTTTCAAAGTTCCTAGCAGGAGATTGGCCCATTTGATTAGCCAATTAATAATCCCTTAAAGTTTGGTCCCAAGAGAGAACGTGATTTTTGGGATAAAACAAAGTCAAGCCTCCCATTTGCAACAAGAAAATGACAACAAAAGCTAAAACGGACGGAAAAACGGAAAAGATCTCTTTGTCAGTTTCCGTCAACTAGGCTGAGTTTTACACGGAACCAACTTTACACAACATGTACTCGTAACCACTTCAGTGTAGGTCTCTTCATTTCTTTTCTTTTTCCCTGAACTTCATTTTCTACAAAAATTGGAAATGATGAAGTCCAACAAACATTTTTGTAATCCTTTACAATGTTAAATTAGTTTAATAAATTAGATATTAAGTTGAATTAGCTATAAATTGATGTCATTAATCATTAATTCTCCATTTAATTACAATAAAAAAAACATTTGATGAAATTTTTATTTTGATTAATGTAATAGATCGGGGTTACAAAGAAAAGAAAACCAATGAACAATTCTTGACATGAAACTTCATTCGTTCTAGAAAATTGATTATGACATTACAAATACAATAACATGAATTGATCAGATCAAAGACAGTAATGATATTTACATGTTTAGTTAGAGTCTAGTGTGTTGTACAGATGTATGTAAACGTCATGCGAACGTAAGTTGATCTAAAAGTTTGAGGCGGAGGGCCAAACATACAAATGTTTGCAGGGCGGGGCAGTTAATCCAATCGTGCGTGAGAAGTGGGGGATTCTAGCGCGGGTTTTAGGGTTTATAAATTTACTTTATAAAGGAGATGTCAGTAATAGATATAAAGCAACAAATAAAAGATAAGGTAGTGCACACGGGAAGCACGATTCCCTTTTTTTTTTTTTTTGTGGCTTTGGTTAGGCGATATAGATGAGATTTAGGCTTTGAGGGGACGTGTGGGCAAAGGTGTTTCTCCATATTTTATCCAGAAAAGGGGGTTTACTTCTAGCCGCTCCCAGGATGTGGCTGTGCATTTTCAATGCCAGCCAGCTTGTACAAGCGCCTTTCTAGCTTTATGTGCTTTCGGCTTCAATTTTCTTTTGACTCTAATTACCCTAAAAGGCTTTGAAACCTCACGTTGCACCATGCATGTGACTTTCCCTACGACCCATTATTAGGATATATTACTTGAATCATTTTCTCCTATTACCAACTATAATCTAGATGCCTAGCTACTACTGCTAATATAATTAACCTAGACAAGACTACTATATTACATATATATAATATATCTTATTTATAAAAAAAGAAAAGAAAAGAAAATTGTGTTTGATCCAACTGTTTTCTGAAATTTTAAATCTTGCTTCAGCAGCCACTGAATTTGATGTTCATCACAAAAAAAAAAAAATGATGAATTAGAATATTAATTAGTGTAAAAAAAACTGGAGATTTCTTTTGGATGCCAGTAATAACTACTGCAAATCACACGTGAACCGAGATGATGAGTAATTGCTTGACAGGTAATTAATAATTAACCATTTGATTTATGAATACTTAAGCTGATGTGTTTGTTTCTTGATGATAATCAGAAAATATTTGTCCTTTTGGATTCATATAGTATTTTAATTTTAAGGAGGGGTTATTGATGGTTTATCTCACCTATATGTGAATGAAAAGACTGGAAACTTTGTAAGAATTCCTTTTCTTAATTTCACGTCTCCCTCTTCTTTGGAAAAAGATAAGGACGCTTTTGAAAGATCCAAATTACTTAGTTTAAACAAATAAAAATGTTGCTTTCATTTAAACCTCCAGGAAGCTGAAAAAATGACCTTCATTCATCAACATCAGCTTTGAGTTCGGTGTGTAGGCCAATAGATCAAGTTGGTAATACTTCCAAAGGCCTCCAATTTCAAAATAATAGACATATTAAAAAAAAAAAGAATAGAAGATTACCCTTTGTTTAGTTTATCATTGCCTTGAAGAATCCTTCACATGGAAAATTTATATTTTAAGTAGATTTGGCCTGTTTGATTGTGTAAAGCTGGAGACAATCTGATCTTAAATACTTGTTTTTTTTTATTATTAAATATTATAAAACCAAAGAGAGGGAGCTTCCAGCTGTGGTTTCCAGTGTCAAAGGGGCATCTTTCTACCATTGAAAAAACTTTTCCACATATTGACTAATTAAACTGAGATTTTGTGTATACAAATATGGTTTTAATTAGCATATGAGATATACCTGTACGCTGACGACAACGTTTTAGACGTAGTCATTTTTTTAATTTCATAGACAAATTTTAGGTAAGTTTTCTAATTCTAATTTGTGTCAATTAAAAAAAAAAAAGAAATATAGCATCAAGCTCAAAAGAGAGGGGAAGCTACTCGGCTATAAGAATCTCAAACAAGTTAAACTAACCTGTAGTAATAATTAAGTAGTTGCTGGTTTCTAGGATCATTGTCTTAATTCATGGCATGGATGGGAGAAAGGAGAATCAAGTATAGAGTCAAAGGTATTGATTCTTCACTTATATTGGTTAAAGAAATTAATTATTACGTATTCATTATCAATCTTGCAATATATCCATTGTTTTAAAATCAATAGGGATCTTAAGTTCGGGTTTAATATACATAGGTTAGGTAATTAATTAAATAAAAATTTGGAGAATTAATTATTTTTATCTCGAGTACGAATTTTTTGTACATAAAATATCACAGTTTGAAAATATAAAAAAAATTATAAGTGTTAAAATTTAAACTTAAATATACTAAATATTACTTCTTAAGAATGATTGTAAAAACTAATTAATTTATAAGTAATTGAGTAAGGATGTTAAATTATATGTAAGTACATTTATCTAGTTGTATATATAAAAGAATTTTTGCTATAACATAACTGGCTAACTAGAATTATAATTTTTGGTATCTCTTTTTTTTTTTTTTTTAAATCAAGGACAAAAAGATTAAATTCCATCTTTTTTCACTAAAGAAATGTTTAATAAACTTTTTCAATCAAATTTCCTAATTAGTTTAGCGAATGGTCTTTTTTTCTGGCCAATAGGAAAGCATAGCTTCAAAACCTGATATTCTACCAGCAACTTTGAACATATTATATATATATATATATATATAATGCAACATTAGTTAATTTGTAGAAAAATAGTACTTGAAATAAAAACAAAAGATTCTATCAAACTTTAAATTTGCAATGCTCAATAAAAAAATTATACTACTCCTTACCACGTTTCAATTATTTTTTTGGTTTTGCCAAAGATCGTCATTGAACTTGTCAAGAAATATGTAATTTTATGAAATGAAAAAAGACTTGAGAAATTGAAACACATTGATTGCCAATGAATAAAAAATTTCAACCATCCACCATCCATTTTCAAGATAGCTGTTAAAATTATTGACGCCCGTTCTGATCCGTAATTGCACATTAATTAATAAATTTTTAGTCAATCAATTAGATTAATTATTAAATATATACTAAAATTAGCCAAAGTCAATTTTAAAATTTGTGGTACCGTGTACACAAAAATAACTTGGGTGGAAGATTGAGAGTATAGTCTAGGGCAACATTATCCAAGCGCTACAAAATCATATGCGTACGAATTGACAATTCTCCTTTTCTACCGAACCATTTGAATGATAAAGTCTCACGTTTCTTCTTTAAAGAATTAGATTCGGTTTTTTCTTCAAAATAATGAAAACAAAAGAATTTTTTTGAGCATGGGTTTAATCTAAATGGTTCATCCATTTTTTTAAGAAGTGGATTCCAATAAAATTAATGTTTAATCCCTAACACTTATAATGCTTTTCCCATTTTTTTTATATCTTAGTCTATTATATACCAAAAAAAAAAAAAAGAAGAGCTTTCTTTAATTTTGTAATAAGAATAACGACGGTTGTTTGATCAAATGCAAAGGAAATAACCAACATGCATCCACTTGGAGAGAGACATATAGACTCCAAGAGTAAGGAGTACTTAATTACTGCATATTTGCTACTATTTGGTAATTGCTGCCTCCTAGAGCTCGAGTCAAGCGTCTTACCTGTGATAGCTAGTTGATATTAGTCCAAGTCTTCAGTCTCCTCCATGTTTTTTTTTTTTTTTTCGTGAAAGAGAAGGCAAGCACTCCCACCATTCGCTGTGCCTACACATGTTAACCTCTTTAAGATTTTTGCATTTTCTTCTGATTAGTCAAGGAAAAAAATTATAAATTTTCTTTTAGTGGTAATAAAAATCTTTAATAGATTTTTTTTCCCCAATTTTTACATTCATCACAGAATTAAAACTCAACTAAATTTAAATTCTTTAGGTAGAGATCATGATGACCATGATAAGGTGAATTCTGATAATCTCCCCCGATCGAGCCAGGTGAGCTAGCACCCAAGGAGGGGAGGGGGGGGGTTCCTAGAGCTTGGAGAAGGATTTGTGGACCGATCCAAAAATTGACGAGAGCCGTGAGGGCCTGGCTTCATAGGTGAGTGGGATAAGGTATTCTCCCCTGGCTAGACCCGACCCGGCCACCCTTCTTCTTTTTTTTTTTTGTTTTTATCCTTAACCACCGTCAGAAAGAGCCGTGCCGTCAACTCCGTTGACCTAAAGACGACGCCCCACGTGTACAGCCCGTACCTTATCCTTCTCTTCTACAGTAACAAACTAAAATCCTTTATCCCACCGTTATCTTTAACGACAATCCGTCTCCCTCCCTTGTCTCCCCACCGATTCACTCCTTGCTTTGTCCTACCGTACCCAGAATTTGCCACGTCGCCTTCTGCATTAACTGTTATGTCATATCTCCCACGAAAAAAACGGCTAGCGTTCGCCTACTCTTTTCTTTTAATTATCCCTTTTCTTTTTAATTTCTGGACCACCACTAAAGTTAAGTCATTGATTTTTTCATTTTTGAATTGTTATTACTATATTATTATATAACTATAGGGAAAATATTCTCTCTCTTGTTGAAAGCTTGAAAAAGCTGCATAACTACCCCTCTCTTCGATCTCTCTCTATCTTATTTTCTCCGTCTAATTTCTCCTTTAGTCATGGAGAAGCAGCACCGTCGAGAATTGACGCTCTTGCACTCCGGTGACTTCCTCCGGCAGAATTCTTGTGTGCCTGATCGTACGCTTGATGATTCTAGCGATCTTGTGAAGCCACACACCAAGGAAATGGATTTCTTTGCTACTAATAATCAATTACATGATCATCATCAAGAGAGCAAGATTAATAATGGATCATCTTCTTTGTTTGATTCGGGTGTAAACGTAAGGTTTTGGATTATTATCCGGACGTATTTAATTTTTATATTTTTTTATGTTCATATATCCATTGAACCTGGCTGGTGTGATAATGCAATAGGAATAATTTAAATAGAGTACTATTTGAGTTTACTTCTCATTGACTAAAAATATGTTGTTCAGACTGGATTAAATCTTCTCAGTTCAAGTCAGGGGGTTTCAAGAACAACTAATGAAGAGAAACCCAAAGCTGAAGTAAGTTTTTTAAATATTCTTTTTTCATGGAAAACGTTTTCATCCTGTTTCTTATTTTAATTTCTTTTTGATTTGTGAGTTTGAACTTGTTAAATGGAAAATTGGGTTTTCAGATAAATGCTCTTAAAGTCAAGTTAGAAAGGTTGCACGAAGAGAATCAGAGACTGAGTGGCCTGTTGGATCAGATTACCAAAAACTACAATGAACTACAAGGTCAACTATTCATGGCGGTGCAAAAACAGGCGCTTGAAAATCAAAGAGAACAGGTGAAACATTTAAGTTCAATTAAACACATCGGACATATTCGAATATATCATCATCATCATCAGTTTGCCATGTGGTTAAAATCAAAGTGGGAGGGAGGGTTTTTATTATCCATTAATGATATGGATATATGTCTTTTCATTGTGCTTATCTTATTGGCAAAAAAATTTGGTTAACGTGCTTAACTTGAATTGGAAAGTGTGCTTCCTTGATCCCGTATCTTCTTTTTTTTAAATATCAGATTGGAAATATATCTTTGCCAATCGATCAGTTTCCACCTTTGTTATTATGCAAAATCACATTGAATTTTGGAAACCCGCCTATCTTCCAAAGTGAAATTTTCATCAAATTCATAAACAGTTGGATCCCGAATCTGTATGGTTCACCATCCACCAATTGTCCTTGTAAGTGATATCTAGAGTAAAGACTACTATCGAATAGGCGGCGTTCGCTCAACCACTTGCCTATTAGGCTTATTTTGCAACCCCCTCGTGTGCACTGTGTGGACATCCTATATGTAAAAGGTTTGCTTTCCGTGCTTCAAAACAGATTATAAGGATAACCCATGATTCTTAATTTTGAGAAAGATAATTAGTTATTTATTCGCGTACTTTCATTTCTCTTATTTTTTGAATTTATGTTAAACCAGTTTGAGGGGTGAGCATTTTGTTGTTTGATAAGCCTAGCAATATTTTTCTTTCTCATTGACGATTATCACGGTTACGGCTAATCAAAGAGATGGTTTTCAAACAGAAGGATGCCGTGAATGGCATGCCAAGTCTCATAGTGTCAGTCCAACAATTAATGGACCCACGGCCATCGGCAGCATTAGATGTCAGTGGACCTTCGGCATCTGACGACAAGACCCAAGAATTGTCAGCATCCCCAGCAAACACTGTGGAAATCGAGTCAAAGAAACGCGACCATCAAATGATTCAAATTCCAGGAAGGCACGCTTCTGTTGAAAATGGTACTGATCAGACGTCTCAAACCAGGGAGGGTTCGCCCAAAATTCCAAAGGTAGATCAGTCAAAGAGTGAAGAGCAAGTCTCTGAAGTTCCTTTCAGGAAGGCCAGAGTGTCGGTTCGAACGAGATCAGAAGCTCCCTCGGTAAGTACTATATAGTACTACTGTACAATTTTACCTCAAGATTTATTTGCAAAAACTTTAAAGAGAATATGTGGAAATGATGGATCCCCGGCCGTCTTATTTTTCTGTGGTGCAGATAAGCGATGGATGTCAATGGAGGAAATATGGTCAAAAGATGGCCAAGGGTAACCCTTGTCCACGCGCCTACTATCGTTGCACCATGGCTGTTGGCTGCCCAGTCCGTAAGCAGGTGCTCGTCTTTTTCTTCTAAATTTTCTTTTTTGAAACAAGGAGGATAGTAAAATGGCCCGATTAATTTGAAACCTCCAACTACTTAAAGCCTTACATTATTTTTTGACAGGTTCAAAGATGTGCGGAGGATAGAGGCATTCTCATAACAACATATGAAGGAAATCATAATCACCCTCTTCCACCAGCAGCCACAGCTATGGCTAACACTACGTCAGCTGCAGCAGCCATGCTGCTATCAGGTTCAACCACAAGCAAGGATGGCCTACCAAGTTCTGGCTACTTCCCTTCCTTGCCATATGCTTCAACAATGGCCACCCTATCTGCCTCCGCCCCGTTTCCCACCATAACCCTTGATTTAAGTCAGGGCCCAAATGCCGTTCCATTCTTACGTCCCCCGCCTTCCACAGCTACATTTCCGTTACCTTTGCACGGTTATCCGCAGCTTTTAGGGCACCCTCTGTTCGCTCCTAACAAGCTATCTGCATTGCCGGTAATGCAGTTAGGGCAACGTCCTGCTTCTATGGTTGAAACTGTTACAGCAGCCCTTGCTTCGGATCCAAATTTCACCGCAGCCTTAGCTGCAGCTATTTCGACAATTATGGCAGCATCGCCAAGCAACAACGGTGGAAATAACAATTCCTCCAATGGGGCGCCTCGTCTTCCAGGATCACCACAGCTTCCACAGTCTTGCACCACTTTCTCCACTAACTAGCCAAGGGTGATTAAATTTTGGGTCTTGGCATGCTCAGGATATTTATCATTTTCTTGCATAAGCTTTTGCTAGGTATTATTACGCAGCCCGAGAGAAGGAGCCCATCTGTTTTATGATCATATTAACCGGCAGTTCCAGGCTATCCAATATGATGATCAGATCAGCAGAATATACAGAGCAAGCTTTGACGTACCACCGCAGGGTTATATATAGACAAATTCCTATCAACTCTTTTGATCAACAACAGTATATTGATTGGTTGGTGGGTTTGGGCTTGCAGTTGCAATTTCGCGGTTCCGAATGTCTATAGCCATAAGAAAATATTTCAGAACCCAATATTAATCACGGTCTTTTCAATCAAAATATGGCTATACTTTTCACTGTAGAGAATATTATATGTTGTCACATGCAGTATATAAGCATAGCAAATTTAAAGTATTTCTTGTGTTGGAGATGATTTTGCTTTCGTACTTAATTAAAATAATGTTTTATTTATGAAGACATATACATGTATGGGGAAAGGGGTACTTTATATAACTTTTGCAGAATTATCATATTATAGGTTTTTATTTTAGTTATTTAAGGATTAATGTAGCAACCAATTCTATTTTTGGTTGGATTAGACGTAAGGGAAATTAATGGAATTAATTAGATTTTTCCACATGATCAGTACTTTACACTCAAAATTAACTTAATCCATCAATTTCAGATGTTTGATATTGTCCAAGAATATTAGAGGGAGTATGAGTTATTATATGTAGTGTAGTACATGATACCTAGAAAAAAAATTATGCCTTTAAAATTTTGAGATAAGGGAGTTTACTAGGTCTCACATTAATCAGAATCGTTTTCTGAACGTTTCTATCTCATTGGAAAAATATTAACAGAATCTTGATAATTCAATTTAGTCCATAATAATATCGAAATAATTTAATTCAAGCCCAAAAATTAAAAATTAATGCAAAAAAAAAACCAATTTTAAGTGAAAAATTTTTCTATATAAAGGAAAAAACCTCGGGATAAAGTAAATCCACTAATATTGGTTTTACCGTAAGAGGCAGAAGGTGACAATTTAACTTCTTAAAAAAAAAAAATCTAAGGATTAAGTATGCTACGTTGAGCATGGGGCACTTTAAAAAAATGTTACATGGCACCTATAATAGTCATAAAGAAGTACTTAATTTCTTTTTTTTTAAACCAAATAAATAGGGATTAAAAAGATAATTTCAGTATTTTTTTTATTTCTTTTCCGTGCATCTTAATTATTTTCCTCCTCCACTTCGTAGATTCATATTTTAACATATTGATTTTTTTTTTTAATTTAAAATAAATAAACTATCCAACTTCTCAAACTAAAATAAAATACATCACATTTGATAATTTAAAAACAATAACTACAGATTGCGCATTTGACCCCGATCACCGATTGAGTTCAACGGACTGACACTTCTCTGTTTCGTACCCAAAAAGAGATCATATTTATGTTTCTCGCCTACTAATTCTGACTCTAGCTAGCCAATACAAGGAGGAGCAGCAGCTAAAGGATGAGTACGAACCAATCAGGACTCAGGAGAGCAAGCCCTGCCTAATGCCTATGTTGAAAAAACTAGGGTTACGTTAGAAAACTTATTTCTTTTACACGTTTTCATCAACTTGGGACAAAGATTTCTGCAACACACTGTAAAATGCACACATAGTTGTCAGTGCAGATAAGATTCCGTTTCCTTACAAGTTTCACCCATAAGAAGAATAAAGCACCATCCCAGTACTGTCCAAGTTCAATGAATCTCCTTTGGGTTATAACGAATTCAACCAGAAAAAACGCCAGGTTCAACCATGCATGGCTCTTTGGATTTGTTCTCATCCAAAAAACATTCGCCAGTTGCACCTGAGAGACATCATGGGATTCTAGTAAGCTCAGTTTGAAGGTGCGATTTATATATATATATATATACAAGGATCGTCTTCAGGACAAACGAAGAAAAATAAGCCTACAACAGGCAACAGCTTTAAAGTCAGAAAGTACTTCACCTTTGGTGCCAACCTTGAGTTCCTCCAGATTCTTCAGCGATTCTTCGGCCGTTCGGCGTTGCGCTTTCTTCGTTAGTTTAGAAGTAATTCACTGAAGAGTTTGGAGGAACTCATGGGTGCTGCCAAACTTCCCCTACTCCGTTTCAGAAAAACCCCATTGTCTTGACTACTTAGCCCTAAACAGCCTCATAAAGTCTGGGTTTAGTGGGTTAAATCTTTTCAGACCCACCCATTGCACATTAAGGCTGGCGGCCCATGGAATGGCCCCACACAGTGTCTTTTCGGGCACCTAAACGTGGAAAAGAAACAATGATGACGAACTCATGGCCGTCAGATGGGGCTAAATCAACATCCAGAATCGCCGTTCAAATTTCAAACCGCCTTATCAGAATTCGACCGTTACAGCCGAAGATGTTTTCTCAAGCTAAGCGTGAGCTTCAAGAAAACATTAAAAAACACAAAACACCACGAAGCACATTCCATGGATTTGGATTAGCTTAACACCCAAAAAACTCTGTTGTTGTTTGGTTTCAAAAGCTGAAAAGTTTAAGACCATGAGGATCATGAGACGCCATGGTTGGCAGCGACCTCTCCACCCTTTACAGGTAAATGTCACACTTAGACCCTTTTTTTGTCTTAAATTTCTGATGATTATGTTGGATCGAAAATGTTGGATTTGCAGATGGTGGGAATGGCAGTATATAGTTTTCTAGTTGTGGTCTTTTATACATTTTTAGGCCTCTTGCTTGGAAACAGAATTGCTGAAATCACTGTCACAACTATCTTTTCCTTTGTGGTAATCTTCTCAAAGTAAAACTGTAAACTTTTTCTTTTTATTGTTGTTATAGCCTAAACTCGCTGGGAATTAAATTAATAGGCTGTCAATTTGCTTTTCCAATTCCAGGCACTCTCAGTTATGTTCCTGTTTATTAGGTGTACTGCTATTGATCCTACTGATAAAATCAGCTCTAGGAAGAAAAAAAGAGGCAAATCTAAAGGGATTCTGAAGCTAAATTATGGGTTCATATTGACCCAGATTGTTGTAAGGTTTTTTAGGCGGTTGGAGAAGAAGATTCTTAGGACTTTTATAAGGAGGAAATATCTGGATCCATGGAAAACCGATATCCAAATGGAACCATTGCTACCATTTCCCCTCGTCATGAAAGATGATGCAATTTCACCTGACCTTAAAGAGGGCGACATCTCTTATTGTTCTCTTTGTGATTTTGAGGTTTGCCTTTGTTCTAGTAGCAATTCTTTTTTTTTTTCTTTCTCAAAAGAAAAAAACGGTTCTTTCCTTTGGGCCTTGTAGTTTGTCTTTTACAACTTTCTCTGCTTTATCTTAGGTGAAAAAACATAGCAAGCACTGTAGGACTTGCAACCGGTGTGTTGAAGGTTTTGATCACCATTGCAGGGTAAGGGCCGGGGTTCCTTTCAAATTTTGGCCTTGGATTTTTTTTATTTTCTTTTGGTTTCCTTTTTCAGTTTGCAGTCTATATGAGAAGCAATTAATCTGTATTGATGTAGAATTGCTCGTTTTATGTCAGTGGCTGAACAACTGTGTAGGGAAAAGAAATTATACAACATTCATTCTTCTAATGATTTTTGTCTTGTTAATGGTAAGTGGTTTTCTACGTCTTTCAATTGTTAGAGATCAATTTCATAATGCCCCTACTTTTATCTCCAAAAAGGCTTCAAATTCTAAGGTAATTCTATTACCCTGACTATCATCAAATCGTTACTATTACAGCTAATCCTAGAAGGTGGAACTACTATTGCCATATTTATCAGGTGCTTTGCAGATAAGAAGGGAATAGAGCAGGAGCTGGAGAAAAGGCTATATATAGAGTTCCCTAGAGAAGTTCTTGCCACAATAACAGTAAAAATATTATCTCTTATTGAAGTTTATTTGGATCACAAATTCTGGTATGTATTTATTTTAACTCTTGAAAATATTACAGATTTTGTTGGCTTTGTTTACTGCCTATGGTTCGGCAGCAATGGGACAGCTTTTCTTCTTTCATGTAGTTCTGATAAGAAAGGTAAGTAATTATAGCTTCCTTCTTTGGACTATTTTGCAAAACATAACGGAGTAGTTAGAAAAAATATGATACCATATCTGTTTGGTTAGGCACACGATATCTGCTTATGGTCGTTTCCACCTCAAGTTTCCCATCACTTGCTTCCTTCAACATCTCCACTGTAACTTTTTGCGTATGAAATGAGGCTCTTTCCATGTGGTCAGTTTACAAGAAAAGAAATGGTTCTGATGGGAGTCATTCATTCCATTGTCACTTCATTGTCATTCCCTTTGGTACTAGAAAATCATCTTGCAAGTTGCAAATCTTACGCTGTAAAGTTAAGAAATTTAGGAAATTTTCTGTCGTTTTGATATTGTACCCCATTTATTGTAGACACCACGATCTGTCCGGAGTGTTTATTTTTATTAATTAAAAAATAAAAAAAATGAAGTCATTCGCCTCATTCATATCCAGATCATGAATGTTTGGAATACTGTCTCAATTCATCCTATTTCATCAGATCCGGGATGTGATATGGTTCCGATAGTTATAGATTTATGGATCTATGACATTTAGAATTATAACAATTCCGAGAACGTCACAATGTATCAGAAACTTTGGCATGCACTTGTTATCTGTCAATTCCCCTGTCCTTGAAGAAAATTTCCTTGCGGTTTCCTCAGCTGAGGATTCGAATTGTCACTATCTCTGCATACCTTATGTTTTCAAAGCCCCCTTAATGAACTTTTCCACTTCTATTATTTTAGCCTGTGCTAGCAATTTGACCATTGTGATATATTATTATGTTGATATACTACCCATATGCTAAAATATGGTTAATTAGAAGTTTTAAATAAATCCAAGGACTTTGGTTGTTTGTGAATTAGTGCTCTCAAGTTGAGCTGTGTCATATCTTGCTGTATCAAAGGCCATGGACGTAGTGATGAAGGTTTGGATACTGGAACCGATGCCCATGGCTTGTTGCTATAAAGACTTGAGTTATTTAGTTCCTTTCCAGTCTCAATAGTATGTTTCGATTCTTGTTACAGGGAATGAGAACATATGATTATATACTGGCATTGAAAGAGGAGAACCAATTTACAATAGACCCGTTTGAAAACTCAGATATCTCGTCAGATGATAGCTCTGATTTTGATTCACCTGAAAAACCAACATTGTTGTCAAGGCTTATATGCAGAGGACAGAGAACTCAGGTAATATATACAAGACATCCCATCTTAAATTTTATCTAAAGAATTTGAGCAGGCCTATCTTACTGGTCAATTCAATTTCAGAACCCATCACGAGTGTCCATAAGAATTGATGGAGATCCAGAAGCTTCCACCTTAACCAGCAAGAAACAAGGCTTCCATGTAAGCATTGACCCATGGAAACTGATATATCTGAGTAGGGAGAAAGCTCTTCTAGCAGCAGAGAAGGCTAGAGAAAGGCTTATGAAACAAAAGCCAGCGGTGGAACTTGATCCATTGAAGCCGTTACCATTGGAGACAAAACATGGCCCATTAATTAATCTAGAAAGAAATATGGCCTCAGGAACAGCAACACCACCGCCTCTCATTTCCAAAAGCAGGCTTCCTGGTTCACCAAGATGGTTTGCAAGCCCAAGGCGTCGATTTTCTGGCTCACCTACCATGTTCTCCAGTGTGATTCCGTCACCAAAAGAAAAATATAGGAGCAATTTCGATTTGAAGTTAACAGAGGTTTCCAGGGAGCTTGAAACATTCATTTCGAGGCAGGTTTTATGTTCTGTTATAAAAAAAGATGGCAGTGAGGCATCTCCAAGATAAAGACGTTTGAATTTTAAGGTTCTTAGCTCTGAGAAAGATTCATTGGCTAGTTCAAGGCTCTGATCTCATTAGATTTATAAGTAAGGTCGGCAATTTAATCCATGATTTTAATCCAATCCGATCCTATAAGTTTGATTTTTTTTTTGAAATTCGGATTTCGAATAAGATCAAATTCAGATAAATCCGACTTGATATTATATAAAAAAATATTTTTTAATTAATTATTTAATTTTTTATTTATATATATTTATATAATGATATTTTTAAATATTTATATTTAAAAAATAATATTTTATATTTTATAAAATAATATTTTATTAATTTCAAATAAAATCAAATACAATTTATATAATTTCGAATCAAATTCGAATATGAAAAAATAAAAAAAATTCAAGTAAAATCAAATTTAAATTTAATAATGTATAAAATCGAATCGAATTTGAAGCAAACAAAACTCATTCCAAACCCGATCCCCAACTCTATTTATAATTGTATTTCATTTTTTTTTTCAACTTTTACATACTAAAATTAAGTTCTCTTGAAATTGATGAATACAAATACAGTTGAAAAACTTGCATCTAACCTAGTACATGCATTGATGACAAGAATCGTTTATGGTACAAAACCAAAGACATAGGTGTAACATGTGGTCTTACTTGAGCACTTCTAAATATCCTTCAAAAGTACGGAAATTGCCTTTCCTTTTCATACAAACGATGTAACTTTCCAGGAAACAGACAAGATAGGCCACAATCACGCCAAGGCAACTCAAGCAATTACACAGCACATGAAAAGTCTGTTTTCATTGGGCTTTTGAATAATTTGCTCTAGGTAACATACCAAAATTTAATCCATTCGCATTTCAGAGTATAACAAACCAAAGTTGAAGGCTCAAAAAAAGCCTTCTATTTTCATTTTTCTGACAAATAACTCAATTATTTGTTACTGCACACAAAGTTACAAAGAAAAAAAAAATCTAAACACCATCTTACAGGTCAGGAACCACATATCAGCCACTCCAATCAACTTCTTATGTCGGGCATCATTTCCTTAGCGAGGTGATGGGCTGTTGTATTGAAAAATGGCCAAGAATCAAAATTCCAACTAAAAATTCAAAATTCATGAAAGAAGGTGGTTTCACTGTAAAGCAAATGCTATGTTTCCACTATTTACCTAGAAAGCAACCAAGAACCTCTGTTTTGATTACCTGAACTCCACAAATGATTTGATAGATGAAAACAATCTAAAGAATGGTTGGGGTAGATACTTTCCTTCAGAGGTTCACAAGTTTCTGGGGAAACCAAAGCAGAGTATCCTTGAATATATGAGCAGTTCCATGGATCTGAGGTTACATTCAGAGCAACATTCAGTAAGCAAATATGATGGAAAATGTCACCTTCTATGCCTTTGAGGAGGCCCGCAACTTTTATATTCTCTCCTATGACATCTTTAACAGTAATCCTTTCTATTACAGGGAGAGCATTTGGATCATAAAACTCATCTGGATGCTGAGAAAAATTACTATTGAACCTTATAGCTGTGTCTACACCAACCAAGGTAACATTTGATATACAGATATTTCTCACATAGCCACCCCTTCCACGAGCTGTCTTTATTATAATAGCTGTGCTTGAATTGAAAAAATAGAGGTTTTCTGCATAAACTTCAGAAACACCTCCAGACATCTCACTTCCAATTGCAATCCCAGAGCCATTTCGATTGTGTCCCGTAAGCCGGTGGATTGTAATATTTGCGCTGGGGCGAGCAAATGAAATGCCATACTCATCCCACCCACTTTTGACGGCAATTAGATCATCACCAGTGCTAATATAACAGTCTTCAATGCAAACATCATCAGAAGAATCTGAATGTATTCAAACATATCAGTAAGAAAGATGTGAGAGGTTAACTTGGCAAACGGGGAAAAATAGACATAAGAATGTTGATTAAACTTCATTACAAAAAGGTGTTATGAAGTAGGATATTGTGTATTCCAAAATTTGGTAAATTTAAAGGTGTTACAGCCTTAATTTCTTTCAACATGCAATCATTAAAGGTGTTAGCATGTAGAACTCACCTGGATCAATCCCATCCGTGTTTGGTGAATCCAGAGGAGCTAGGATTGTGACATTCTGGACTATGACATGGCTGTTCATTGAGAAAATAAAAGCCTCAACTTAATCGATAGTTGCTTTCCCTCTTGACAGCTCTGTTCTAAAAATGGTAATGTAAACAATTTAAAACATTCAAGGAAGAGCATGCTAATATTAACGAAGACTACAAACCTGCAGTATACTGGGTGGATGGTCCAAAATGGAGAATTCAAGAAAGTCAAGTTTGAGATTACAACGCTAGTTGAGTTCATCAGCTCAACCAGATGGGGCCGAGTATATTTCAGAGTTTTACTTCTAAACCAGTTCCACCAAACACTGCCTTGGCCATCAATAGTTCCATTATCACCTGCATGCAGAACCAGTGGCATAAACAAGAGAAATAAAATGCTTATGGAAGATGATTTTTCATCGATGTTACTAACCTGTTATGATTACATCAGTCAAATTGCGGCCAAATATGAGGCTTTGATGCCTTCCACCAGGTAACTCCCTACCTCTGCCATAGGAAGGCAGAGGATCAACAACTGGCCAATCATCAGAATTCTGAAACAACAGAAGCTATGCTGTTTTATAATATGTGATAATAAGAAAGCATCTAGGGTGCTAGGCTTACAACTGATGGAAATGCTCAGTTGATTTTGGGGCATAGACAGAAAGATATCTAATAGACTAGCAGTATGCATCGATGATCACAAATGAGATGCTATTCTCGCATTATTAAATTAGTACGTTCACCATATAAGCATTGATTTACTTACAAATAGCTGAATGCATATTCTCCAGCATCAACCATTCATTACATATAGCATTTTAACAACAGATGAAATCCCATATACCACAAAACTTCTAGCCAGAAGGGGATCACAAGAAAGACCATGCGACTATGATGCAATGTTCTTTTTCACATCTTATGGGTAAATGTTCTTTTTGAAGTAAGTTGTTAAGGGACTTACCTTCGATCCAAGAATTACTGCATCCTTATCTAACCACAAAGTTAGGTGACTGATGAGATCGAAACTTCCTGTCAACCACCGGCCAGCTGGGACAAAAAGCTTGGCCCCACCTTTGTCAGCAAATGAATTGAGGTAGAAGATGGCATTCTGAAACGCTATCGTATTGATAGTGACACCATCTCCAACTGCCCCAAATTCGGTAATACTGACACTGTGAGGCCGAATCACCCTTGAGTCCGTCTGTTTGCAATGTGAGGTGCCATTGACAGCCCATGTAACATGACTGAAAAATACAAGCACTAGAAGCACATCCACCAGCTGAAATGAAATGTTTTTAGAATTGATCATGAATGTTAAATCAGTTTAAACAACTTCACCTCCCCTTTTTTCTTCAGTTATTCCTGATTGACCGTGATAAGTAGATATGGGCAATTTACTAATTAAGTAATTTAGACAAGTATGGCCATTTAACAAACTCAGAGTTGAAATAAAAGAAAACGAAAGCCAGATTAACAGTAATGAGAATCAAAAGAAGCCTGAAAATAGGTAAAGAGAAACATGCAAAAGTAGGGAGGGATTAACTTTATTAACCAAGTCATGGATAATTAGTGACTCACAGATTGCATAGAAAAGTAATAAACTGAACTGCAATTTACAAAAAGGGGAACTAAGCAAACAGAAGCCACAACGAATCAAAAATGTAAGAAGCAAATTGCGTTTACTCACAACCACTAGTAGTCTAGCGCACTCATAAAAGATAAAAAAAAAAAAAAAACATTTTGCTGATTTAAATCCCACAATTGCTTTAATCAGTAACTTGTGCAAAAGAATTTAGCATATTTTGAACATTTTGTTAAGATCCTGTTACAGAACAAGAACTTAGTGTTGTAGTAGAAAGACTAGTAACAAATTAAAACTCACTCAAATAGAGAAAAATAAAAACTCAAAACAATAAAACAAAAAGTCTAAAGAAAAGCAATGATCAAACAACTCACACTGAAAAATGGCTTCATATAATGAGATCTACAATTTTCCTTTCAGAAGACAGTTCGCAGTTGTCACAAAAACCACTGCTCTCCTTTTTTATTTGATCAAAAATAAAAGAAAGGCAATGGTAGAGGAAGCGTAGAGGATTTTTTTTTTCTTTCTTCTGATCAAGAATAAGATCTCAGAGAGGATGATTAGATTTGGGCAATTAACAGAACCACCACCAATGAAAAATCATTGAAAGTGACCGTTTTTGTCCGTAAAAAATTAAGCAGTAGGTCCCTCTTATTGCGTCACTTGTTCCATGATTTCTGTCTGTCTTTCCTGCTCTATACACTGCTTCTCTCTGTCTGCTGGTTGGTTTTTATATTGAAAACATTTTCTGTCTGCTGGTTTCTATTTTGAAAACATTGATAGAAGGAACTTTCGCCGTAGAATGAGTGAGTTTTTTTAGATGGGGTTTGGGTTGGAAGAGATACACACGGATTAAAAGTATTGCATGAGCTGAGGCATCATGGATAAACTCTCTCTCTCTCTCTCTCTACCTCTCTGTCCATCCATTTCCCTATTTCTGTGATCACAATCTTACTTAGTTCGTAAAATCCGTAAAAAGAAAAAAAAAAAAAAAAACAAAAAACCTCTTTCATAAATCATAATCTTCATTAAAAATAGGGAATTGGTAAATTTGTTTCCTTCTTTTTCTGATTTTGTTTTTTTTACTTGTAGTTTGTTATATACATAAACTGATAAATATAAGGCTGGATATAAACAAAAACAAGCTGATAAATTGAAGGCAGGATATAACTATCCATAAAACAAAACAAAAACAAGCTGATAATGATAAAAGACAATACAACAGAAGTATTGATTTTGGAAAGGAATATTAGTTTATGTCAGGGAAAGCATTATAATTTACAAGAGCAACGGCGTCGTTTGTTCTATCCAAATTGTCTGTTAGGTTAGCCGTTCCGTATCTTATAGAGCATGGTCCTTGGAATCACTAATTCAGTAATTCCAAGTTCATTGTTAAATAAATAAAAAAAAGGTGGTCAAAATTTTTTTTTTTAATGTTAACACATGGCTTTGCTAGATTGATTGAAACAGGCTTGACCAGTTAGAGAGGAGCCTGCCAGCTACCAGCGCTCCGGTAACCGAGTAGTTAAACCCAGTTGGCTTGGTGATGGTGAACTCACTGCCACTTGCTTTGGAAGCAGGGACCACCTTACTTTCTCTCTTCATGAATCAGGGTTTGGTCGTTTGACCCCTAAAGCAAAACCTAAAACAAATTCCATTTGATTGGCCCTTAGTATGCCCTAAAAATCATTTCCCTCATCTCCTTCATGACTCATGGCTTTCGACTCCCTTTTATTTCCTCTTTTTTTTTTAAGAGAATTTTTTTTATGGGAAACATTTACTGAATGTCTGAATTGCTTCTTTTGCCTTGGCAAAAGAACTGCATTCTAGAGAAAAAATCCTCTCGGATAAATTTTTAGGCTTCCCTTTAACCATATTTTTATTACCGTATAACGTTCCAAAAAATATATATACTATCCCATGTCAGAAAGTCTACTCCTAATATGATTCCACCTTCACGAGCTAATGTCTCAGACGAAATTATGAAAATATTTTCAAACATCATGATTATTAGATTAATTAAAGGAAACAGTAAAACCAGACAAGAATCCGGTCTCAAATTTTATACTTAGCTTCAACAAAACAACATGGAGAACAAAAGTCAGTGACCACTGACAATCTGACTACTTAATAAAATGATTTTGCATATCTCATGGTTATGAACTGAATCCGTGAAGGTACCAAGTAATAACAGTAATTTAAGGAAATAAGAATAAATGTTTTTAAAGAAGGGGACAAAGTCACAGGGTGGGATAAGAAGACAGACACCAAGGGTAGTCTTAAATCACAGGAATGTAATAAAAGTTTCCAAAGTAAGGTATCCAATGACACCATTCAAACAAAACTCTAAACAGTTTTTTTGGGACCGTCAAGGGTCAATACGCAGGCTCAGGCCTATAACTTTTCTTTCAGAGAGAGAAAGAGAGAGAGACTGTGTTTTTTTTTTTTTTTTCCTAGTTGAATGTCACCTATTTCTTTGATCACTTTACCTTAACTTCACCACAACGTAATAACATTGAACGTGTGCTAGTACTCTTTTCTGAGTTCTGACCTTCTTCCACATCATTACGATTTGGGTATATAGTGAAAAAAAATATTGGATTTGGAGTAAGATCTTGGTTAGGGTACTTTGAAAAGCTTTCATTAGTCTTTAAACATTCCATTGTTTCAAATGGATTGCTTGAGATTAATAAAAACATGTGTTAATTGGTTCAATGACAAGAACAACTCCATTTACATTTATGAAAGTGACACTTAAAGAAAACTTGCATTAACTAGGACCACTTATACTTACCAGATTTTAGTTCTCACTGACAATGTTAGGGGAAAATTTTGATGTGTTTTCAACCAACTCTGAAGAAATGAGGAGTTTTTGCTTTTACATTGAGCAATGATTTTCATTTCACATCATAACCATTTCTTCATGTTTTTAGATCACTTTCACAGCTCTAAACTTTGAGTTAATAATACGGCTTATTTGACTTCTACAAGCAAAATCATACTTATTATTAGCAATAATTAACTTGGGTTATTTCTCTTAAAAGCCACTGAAAAACATATTTTTTCAGATAGAACAAGAAGCACTACTAACAGAACAAGCAACAAAAAAAAAAAAAAAAAGCTGCAGTAATTAAGCACCGTTATCTCAGGACAAACTCAACACATTAACAATGTTTTTTTTTTTAAATGGACCACCACCATGTTAGAAACAAACCCACTACTTTCTTGTCTGTTGTGTATAAATAAGTAATATTTCAAATAAAAATGGGGGAAAGGGGGTTTGGTAAAAACATGCACTTTTACATGTGGTAGAGACCTTCATAAATCGTTTTCACCTATACCTGGACCTTACGTGCTTTTAACAATCTTATTAATGCAAAATGGTGGAAAAGGAACAATAAAATATGTACAATGGAAAAGCCATATAAAGTTAAAACATCTCTTTTTGGTTATAATATGGTTCTCAAATCAAATACTAAAAAATTATGGTTCTGAATGTAGAAAGCGATATGATGTAGCATAAATATTTCTCCTACATGGCGTAACATTTGATTAAGGAGGGTGACCATCCCAATTTATCTACCAAATCACTTTTAAAGATCAGGTGTTATTGGATCTGTCTATGCTCATTACTCTCTTTTAATTAGTTCTTTTTGACTCCATTGAAGATCTTCAGGGAGGACCACAACTGCTCTTTACTTGATTTCATTGCTTTTAAGGTTTAAACTTTACAAGGAATTAATCATAATAATTTACTGCATTGATACTCTATTTTGGGTTCTGGAACTTATTCCAATAAGGCAAACACACATGCTAAGGATATGGGACCAAAACTGAAAATTGTCCCCTTCTTCCTAATTCATGAGCCCTCAAATTTTTTAAAAAATAGATGTCCCTACATAAATTGCCTGTTGCTTTACTCTTTATTTACATCTGATGATACGATTGCGCAAGTCGTTTTTTTCTTCCTCTCTTCTCTTTTCTTTTGGATTATAGGACTGAACTTTTTTCTTTTTTGAATACAAAGGAATGAAAATTAAAAAAAAAGAGCTCAAAGGTTGTAACCTGTCGGCTTGGAGCTAGACATGGGCCCCTTAACTTGATAATATAAAAATGGGCTGATTCTGCCCATGTATATCTCCACACTATAAAGTTCGACGGCCCAATGTCCAAATTTCTTTCACTTTGTTGGCCTAAATGGCAGCAAGTAACACTTAAAAGGACAATTCTTTCAAGCTTTTCTTCAAACGAGTAGCGAACTCTTGAAAATAAATGCCGACTAGAAATAAAGCAGCAAAAAACAGCATTCTTGATGGCTCCGTTCCTCAGCAGAAAGAGTAAGTCTGTCTTTGTTTCATTGGATCTTATACAAATTGTGGGTCTTTTTATCTAGTTCCTTTAATTTTTTTGGTCTTGGCAGTTGCTATGATGGGGAACGTCTTGTTCATATGCTTAAATCAATCCGAAGGTAAATGATTCCAACAAATTATCGATAATTAAAAAATACCCTTTTTCGGGAGGTAATAGGTTTAAATTATTGCAATGAACAGAGGGATAGAGTCCGCAAGAATATTGGGTGGAAACTCCTTGCCTGAAAAAATATGGCTTAAGGTTTAATTCCTTGTTCAATCCTTCATTGATTTTCTTTTGATTAACCTTGTGCTTTATTATTATCTGATTATATGTATTTGGGGCATTGTAATTTAGCAACAATTTTCCGTTGGTGTTAATGATGTGACACGTGTACTTGAACGGATGGCGCCCAGTGCTGAAAAGGGAAGCTCTGCCCAATCTCCTTGTGTTAGGCTTCAGGTTGGCTACCCTGTTTCTTGATTCAATTTTAAAGTGATCTGTCATGTTTGTATTACAAGCTCTACTCAATGTTTGCTATATGTTTGTTGAGTTCGTAGGCTATTTTGTTAGCCGCTGATTGCAATCCAAAGTGGCTAACGAAGCACCTGCCAACTTTGGCTTCGTCAAGGAAGGTACCATTGATCACCGTTAAAGATGATGGGAAGGGGTCCTTAAGATTGGGTGAGCTTGTCAGGCTGAAAACAGCCATTGCAATTGGAGTAAAGGTTAGGGGTTTCGGAATAGGTTTGCATATGGTCGTCTTCTTCCATGGGATTCGCAACTGAAATATTTGTCGTTTCAAATGTAGGCTCGAGAAAATGCTATCAATCAAATAATGGAGGAAATTCTTGATGGTGATGAAGTGAATCAAGGAGCATCGTGAAGTCCGATGAGGGATGCCTTGGTGACCATGCTCAATGACCTGCCAGTTGCTTGCGGTCGCAATTGAAGGGAACCATTGACTGAACTTGACCCCTATGGTGAGCGGTTGTTTCTCAAGTTGAGATGTTAGAGGCCAGGCATGCCCCCTATGGTGACGGGTTGTAAATGAAGACACACATTCTAGAGTTGTAACAGATGTATCTGGTATAAACTTTAACTACACAGAAATGCATACTATTTTTTCTATCTGCCCACTATAATCACCTAAAAAGAATGGTAGATGAGTGATATTTGCCCAAAAGGAATGCAAAACTTTCATTGATCTCCGAATGTAAGTTACTAAGCCTGTAGCAAAAATGTTACAATCTATTTGGTGTGGTTTTCTATGGTACATCAAACAGGGCATATTTCTTTTCACTTTTTAAATTGAGATAGATACTGGCTTGACACAATTATATATACAATAAAACGGCACTTCTAAATTATCTATTCTGACCTTCCCTATGAAATAATCCAAAGATTTGTACTTGATATGAGCACTGGGCACTAGCTTTGGGGCTCGCAGCTGATGAAGATGACTCAAGTGCACCAACTGCATCAGGTTTCTGATTACTACTTCTACCGTTATCTTACTTCTCCTTCCGATCCTTCTTTACCAGCAATGGTTGGAACTGCCAAATTGTGAACAGAAAAACTAGTAAACACGAGATGCCATGGTGGAAAAAGTGTAGCTTCATAACTTCTAGAACCCAGTTTTCTTCATAGCTGATATAGAATACATTACATTTCGTCTTATCTGAGCCATCATATCCAAGAGGAGGTTATAGCCTTCATGCTTATACTCGATTAGTGGATCACGTTTTGCATATCCTCATAAGCCTGCAGCTTGTTGTACATACTTAACGGGCTTGCAGTTGTTCTTTCCACAAGCGATCAATATTGCTTAAAATTAAGAACCTTTCAGTTTCCTTCATCAATCCTTCTGCTTGCTTCTCCATCATATCCTAAATTCAAAATTTTGGGAAAATCAAAACCATAAAAAAAAAAAAAGCAAAAGATATAACACAGATATGCTTGAATCTTGCGTAGGCACAAAAAAAAAAAAAAACAGTTAAAGCGGTCAAGACTTCTACCTATCCACAATAGGTGGAAAAACATCACTAATTGGAAGCTTAGATGTGTTAAATGTACCAATTACAGGGCTTACATGTGTTCAGTATTGAAATTCAGCAGAAACTTACTCTCACTGATTGATCATGCTAAAGATACAGGAAAAATTGCTATTCAAGTAAACAAGATTATTGTACTGATCCCTTTCTGCAAATATGCTTCACGACCACAAAGAGCAAGGTAATCCTGTAATTCCTCATGACTCGAACACTGGCTTCATAGAAGGGAGGAGCATCACAGATAATGTGCTTATGGCACAGGAGATGGTAAGGGGATATGGTAGAACCACATTATCCCTAAGGTGTGCTATAAAGATTGATTTGCAAAAGGCTTTCGATACATTGGATTGGAATTTTATCCACAACATTTTGGCAGCAACTGGATTGCCTTCAAAATTTATAGGCTGGATCAACAATTGTATTACAACCCCAATGTTTTCTATATCACTTAATGGAGGGCTAGTGGGCTATTTTCAAGGTGCTAGAGGAATAAGGCAAGGGGATCCACTCTCCCCATATCTATTTGCTCTAGCAATGAATGTGTTGTCAAGAATGCTAGATGAAGCTGCCAAGTTTGGAGTGTTTGCCTCTCATCCTAAGTGCAAGAAGATCAAGCTGACACATTTATGTTTTGCGGATGATTTGTTGATTTTTCCAAAGGGAAGCAAGGATTCAATCATTGGTCTCAGGGCTGCAACTAAATTGCGAAAAGAGTGAGATATATGCCACAGGAATAGGCAAGGAAGAGATCCAATCAATTCAACAAGCCACAGATTCAAAGTAGGCTTACTCCCTATCTTACTTAGGAGTCCCACTAGTCACTAGAAGACTCACTGCAAAAGATTGTGCTCCATTGCTTGAGAAGATCACAACTAGGATTAAAGGATGGACTAATAAGTACTTATCTTATGCTGGAAGACTATAGCTAATCCAGTCAGTACTTTTCAACTTACACAATTATTGGTGTAAACATTTTATATTGCCTAAGCATGTGTTAAAAAAGATCAATCAGCTCTGCTCTAGCTTCCTTTGGAAAGGCTAGGAGGGGACTGCCAGAGGAGCTAAAGTCAGCTGGGAAGCCGTTTGCCACCCTAAATCTAAAGGAGGGTTGGGTATCAAAAACACACTTAACTTGGAACAAGGCATGCATGATGAGGAATATTTGGTCTATTTTCTCAAAAGCAGGATCTATATGGATAGCTTGGATTGAAGCCTATGTGTTAGAAGATGTGTTTAGGACTGCTAATGTGGATTCATGAATTTTGCTTAGTTGAATGTTTCATGTTGTTCCTGTTTTTTTGGTGTTGGTTATTTTTTTTTTTGTTATTCATGCTGGTGGTCATGGTTTAATCTTAGGACTATGATTTTAGTGGGTAGTTATTAATTAGGCTTTAAATTGTAATGTTTCTAATGTTAATAAAAGTAACAGTGAGTAAAGTTTTCTTTGCTTCAAAAATAACAACATTTGGTATCAGAGCTATCTTTTCAAGGGATCTGTGTGTGAAATTGACGCGTCATGGAAGCTGAAGCCAGTTTCTCCACAATTGCTCCGACGGTGTTCGACAACTACCAGATTTGGACAGTACGTATGGAGACATATTTGGAAGCTTTGGATCTTTGGGAAGCAGTGGGAAAAGACTATGAATTCATGCACTTCCAAACAATCCCACCATGGCACAGATTAAAGCACAGAAATAAAAGAAGACAAAGAAATCAAAGGCAAAGGCTTGCTTGTTTGCTGCAGTCTCATTCATCATCTTCACTCGTATCATGTCTCTGAAGTCAGCAAAAGAGATATGGGATTATCTCAAGAATGAATATGAAGGAGATGAAAGAATTAAAGGGATGCAAGTCCTTAACTTGATTAAGAAATTTGAACTTCAAAGAATGAAGGACTCCGAGACGATTAAAGATTACTCCGATAGGCTTCTGAGTATCGCAAACAAAGTAAGGCTACTTGGATCTGAATTTACTAACTCAAGAATTGTAGAAAAAATTCTTGTTACAGTACCTGAAAGATATGAAGCAACCATCACTACCTTGGAGAATACAAAGGATCTGTCAAAAATTTTCTTAGCAGAATTGCTTAACGCTTTGCAAGCACAAGAACAAAGGAGACTAATGAGGGAAGATACAACAATTAAAGGAGCTTTGGCAGTCAAGCATCAAAATGTGGCCAAAAGCAAAAGAAAAAAGATTTTGAAAGAAATGAGGCAAGTACTGCATCAGCCAATGCAAAAGGAAAAAATGAAAATCAGAAGAAATCTTATTCACCTTACCAACATTGTGGAAAGAAGGGTCATCCTCCATTTAGATGCTGGAGAAGACCTGATGCTAAATGCTAAATGTAATCAAATTGGGCATGAAGCTGCTATCTGCAAAAACAAAAATCTGCAACATGGTGAAGATGCAAAGATTGCTGATCAAGAGGAGGAGGATCACCTGTTCGTAGCTACATGTTTCTCCGGCATCGAATCAAGTGAAAGTTGGCTTATAGATAGTGGTTGTACTAACCACATGACACATGACAAGGATCTATTCATTGAACTAAGCAACGCAAACTCATCGAAAGTTCGAGTTGGTAATGGCAAGTACATAACTGTGAAAGAAAAAGAACAGTTGCAATTTCAACTTGTTCAGGTACAAAGTTCATTTCTGATGCATTACATGTCCCTTGAAATTGATCAAAACTTGTTAAGTGTTGGACAACTAATTGAAAAGGGTTATAAAGTTGTGTTCAAAGATAAAAGTTGCTTGATTAAAGATGTAGTTGGTCAAGATATTTTCAAAGTAAAAATGAAAGGGAAAAGCTTTGCTCTAAATCTATTGGAGGAGGAGCAAACTGCTTTCCCAATCAAAGAAAATATGACTGAAGTATGGCACAAGAGGCTCGGGCACTATCATCATCAAGGGCTGCTGCAGATGAAATCCAAAAAGATGGTAAATGATTTTTCAGAACTTGATGATCATATTCCAAACTGCAAAGCATGTCAGTTTGGAAAGCAAAGTAGGAAATCATTTCCCAAGGTAACATGGAGAGCATCAAAGAAGTTACAATTAATTCATATTGACATTGCAGGCCCACAAAGAACGTTTTCTCTGAAAGGTAGTCTTTATTATGTTGCATTCATTGATGATTTCACCCGTATATGTTGGATCTTTTTTTTAAAGTACAAGTCAGAGGTGGCTCAAGTCTTTTGGAACTTTAAAGCCAAAGTTGAGAACGAGAGTGGCTGTAGAATTCAAACTCTCAGATCAGACAATGGCAAAGAGTACACCTCCGAAGCATTCACTCGTTTTTGTGAAGAGGCAGGCATCCAACATCAATTAACCGCTCTATACACTCCACAACAAAATGGAGTAAGTGAGAGACGGAATAGATTCATATTGGAGATGACACGATGTATGCTACATGAGAAGAACCTGTCAAAGCAATTTTGGGCTGAAGCAACAAATACTACTATTTTTTTGCAAAACAGGCTTCCCACAAGAGCAGTAAAGGATCAACCACCCTTTGAGGCATGGTATGGTTATAAACCATCTCTGAATTTTCTTAAAATATTTGGATGTTTGTGCTTCACTTATGTTCCATAGACCAAGAACGATAAATTAGATAAAAGAGCACTTCCAGGCATCTTCATTGGCTACAGCTTAGTTGCAAAAGCTTATAAAGTTTTTCAGCCACAAACTGAAAAAATTATTATAAGCAGGGATGTGCACTTTATGGAAGATGAAGAGTGGAACTGGGATGATGTAAAAAAGATGGATCCAACCTTAAAAGAGCACAAGCTCAAGTTTCCTAGCATTGGAGACTGAGAGAATGAAATGGTGGATAACAGTCCTATCAGATGTACAAGATTACTTTATGATGTTTATCAAAGATGCAATATTGCTGTGTGTGAACCTACAAATTATGAAGAGGCCAAGACGGATCAAAATTGGATTGCTGCAATGAAAGAGGAGCTATTCATGATTAAAAGGAATGAAACATGGGAGTCGGTTGATCGACCCCAAAACAGAAAAGTAATTGGAGTCAAATGGGTGTACGAAACCAAGCTTAATGCTGATGGCTCAATCAACAAGTATAAAGCTAGACTCGTGGTCAAAGGATATGCTCAAATACTCGGTGTGGACTACTCAGATACCTTCGCACCAGTCGCTAGACTTGACACCATCAGGCTCTTACTCGTCGTTGCAGCACAAAAGAATTGGAAAGTGCACC